TCGTCGTGAGTGCACTGAACAAAGAATTCATTTTTTGCATAATTCAGTGTAAACCTACACTACTTTTAAAACTGAAAAAAAAAAATCTGTAACTTTTCCTTCTAGGACTCACTGAATATAAAATGTCTACTGCTTTTTGTCTTCCTATTTTGCTATTTTTAACACTATAAAGATATCCAATATTGGTCCCATTTTTAGTACATTAGTCTTATTGAAATGCAATAATTGTTTTTTTTTGAGATATGTAAATAGAAAATTGGCTAATTATTATGCAAATTAAGCAATTATTACGCACAAATTTCAACCCAAGAGTAATTCAGTCTGTGTATTGTTCAAGAGCAAATATGTATCAAGTCTCATTATAATGAGATGTTTATATCTTTAAAAAAAAATCGGGAAAAAGCTGAAGAATAAATTAATATGCAAATTAGGTAATTAACATGCTCAAATTTAATGTAAAACTAATAAGGTCTGTGGAATGTCACAGACCATCTATATACAAAGTTTCACTGAAATGTGATTAGCACTTGAGATATCCATGGAAAAGTATGAATATTATGCAAATTTGGTAATTAATATGAACAGATTTTAACCCATAACTGTGCAGGTCTGTGCATTATTCTAGTTCAAAACTCATAAAGTGGTTCTTTAGATATCAGTGGGAATGTCATGGAACTGCTAAAAGTTAGCGAATTATCATACAAATAAATTACTACTACAGGCACTACAAAGTCAAAAACCGTTTTGAGTTATTGTAACTAGAAAAATGACAACAGCAACAAGGACATATATTTTCCCCTCATATACAAAAATGTACCTTGCCTTCCACCAAAATAAGCACCCCCCCCCCCATTTCTATTTCATTTGGATCAGAACAAGTGCTCCTTTATAAAATGACTATTGATTGTAACTTCCATTTTATCTTGTATTGCCAGCACTAATATGCCAGGTGACCGTGGGTTCAACCAACGTACTACAATTCTCCACCACAGGGGCTATAGATATGTACATGTCATGAACCGACTCAACAGTATATTTACATTCACCTATGTTTTGTTTTTAAACATGTCATGATGATTTTTTGCTGTCTCAGTTTTATAACATCATTATTTATTAGCCAATAAACATCTGCACATCCATCATCCTAACATTTGCACTTCCATGGGGATTTCCATCAACAGTGAGATTTGGTAGTTGAGATTACCATACCATTTGGATTAAATGTGGTGCGGAAATTGTAATTAATTGTAACTATTGCGCTTGACTGATAAGTAGTACATCAAATTGACATGTATACGGAAAAGCAGGTACAAGGACAGGAAAAAAAAAAATAAGACACAAATTCATTAATTTGCAACAATGTAAGAAGAAACACCTGAACTGAAAACAGGCACTATTGCAGGAAAAAGACACAAAAGAAAGTTCTGCAAATGTAATTTATTCATTCCTCTATGAGAATGAAGAGAGAATGGACGAGAACAATATACACTTTTCAACATGGCAGTATTGTGTACATGTAGTATAGCTAGTATATACCATGAGTTAAATAAGAATTTATCAAGGAAAAGTTTACCAATTGACAGACACACTCGCATATATAGTATGTACATTTTGTACCTTCAGACATTATTAGAAATTAAAAAGCAGCATTTACAACAAATTATGAAAATATTTACCTGAGTGTAGGTATCAGACCAGGTGTAATTTTCATCCAGAAGTCGTGAAAGAGTATTTCGAAGAGTCTGGTAACCTCGGCCATCCAATTGATAATAATGGTCTACATAGGAACTACTACTACAGCTACCGAAAAGATTGTCTGAAAAAATAAAGATAAAATCAATTCTGAATCAATAATTCTAAAGATATATGTATATATACATGCGTTCAAAGATTAAATCAATAATCCTACACTGTAAACCATTAAATGTTTGAGATTTTGAAGTGCTTAAATACTGTAAAGTTTATTATAGCTGGAATAAATTTTCACTGAAAAAATATTATTAGTGTTTTGTATGGAATTTATTTTCACTGATTTTTGACAATTTGAATGTAAAATATAGGGGAAAAAGGTATATTCACTGGACTTTATTTTTGTTCAATCATTCCTTCAGTGAAAATTAATTCCAAGTGAAATAAAGTATTTTATAGTAGGTCACTTTCATGACCTCTAAAGGTCATACATCTTGGTACTTTCATGACCTCTAAAGGTCATACATCCTGGTACTTTCATGACCTCTAAAAGTCATACATCCTGGTACTTTCATTGGTATAAAAATCAGCACAAATTTCCTAGACTTAATTTCTTTTAGCTACTTGAGTAAAAACCTTTCTGTTATGAACAAAAATACATGTTAAAATGCCATGATTGTGCTACAAAAGTACCTAGATGGGAGACCTTTAGCGGCCATGCAAGTTGTAACTGCCACAATTTCAAGATTCTTAATGGAATCGATGAAGAAAACATTTTTCAAGGTCACTCTGTGACGTAGGACTAATTTTCATTAGTACATGTACACTATGTATGGAATTTTTCCGTAAGCTATTTATGCATGTGGATCACCGAGGCACTAATGTACAAAGTTTCATTGAAATCTGACAAGGGTAAATTTGCTAATTGATATTGCCCCAGAGGATTCATGTGTTATTCGTACACAGAAGTAAAAAAATTACATATACACATGCATGACTAATGAAACAAAGACAGTATTACTAGTCAAAGTATTACTAGTACATAGTTGTAAGGCACTGCAAAGTATGCTAGCCTGACATGTACGGTAGGCGCGAGAAGGCCCTCGCCGGCCAATCGGCGACAGAATAATGTATGTCTTGTCTGCAAGATCAGTACTGCGAATTCGCAATGTTCATGCCTTCTTGCGATGAGTTTAATGAATATTCATTTTGGTGGTCATCATAACACCGTCACTCAAAGCTGTGTTTGAATTGTCGGCAAAAATCACAGACTGTTTTCAACAAGATGATAAACATTGGGCGAAAATTTGCCAGCACTTTATCATACATTATTTCATTAAACAAATAAAATCTCTTAACAGGTGCAGTATTGTAGGCTGCTAACTCACACAGTAAACAAGTCATTGAAAATGACACAGTCCCTGTTGGTATTTTTTTTAAAAGTGATCTACAAAAATGTACATGTGAACATTTGACATCCAAAAGAAAAGAATGGATTAGGTGCGAAAAGAAACAATTTTATTCAATTGCAGTTGAAAACAAATTTATTAAATTATTAAATTTATGTAAATAGATTGGAGATACATGTATGAGGGCATTTTTCCATGCTAAATTAAACTATTGTACACACATGTACATCCCCAGATGAGGATATGATTTCAAGAAAGTATTATGACAGAACCCCACACCCTCAACGCCGCAACGTCGCCAGCAGAAACCTGGTATCTCGATGCTGATGGTTGCGGCTGCATAGTAATCGCTGATTTTACTGCTGGTGGATCTTCTGAGAGCCCTTCAAGGTTTATAAAACTCAGTTTCCAGGTGGTCAACACACATTAAGTTCTCCCAATCATAGTATTCCATGTGATGTACACCTGACATGCCAAAAATGTTGTTGAACGATCTGAACTGGATAAAAATAGCAGACGAAAATGTGTTTACAAAATAAAAATAGTTTGGTAGCCAATAAAAATACCATGTTCATTTGCATATCGACCGTGAAAATACCGAAAACATTATTGCATGGGTGATATGCAAATTAGTTTGGGCCAAAATAAGTGACTGCCTAAAAGTACCATTCTGTTGTTCAAATTTCATGTCATTCGGCAAGTATATTCATGTACCCCAAGGGGAAAATATGTACTTCTAAATATTGTTTATTCCGAAAAACTGTCTCCTGAAGGGACTACTTTGTTTGCTCTCGGACCTCATTTGCATATGGGTTGTGGAAATACCGATTTTGATTTCAGGGACGAATCAAAATAAACTGCAGTACATATGTAATAATTATTATTATTATCAGTACTGTAAAATCTGTATTCTATCAGCTTCTATTAAAATGGTGCAATGCAACAGAGGAGATGCGGTTTCTATTAGAGCATCTACACGTATGAGAAATGATGAATTTTTGTTTCTCAATTATTCAAAAATAATGGGTGTGACTTCTATTAGGGATGTAGCGGTATTATCATTGTAATGTTTATGAAACTACAGTGCAGATAATCTGCCAAGACACACATGAAAACAAAAACAATATTGCTACCAGTCGGCCATTTTGAATCAAGTCACAAAAAAATTACACAGTAACCTTGTTATACTGTACATGAAAATCACATCTTGACAATGAATTTTCTTATACATGTATATTACATGTTTCATTCTCATAACAAACCCAACTTATTATTACATGTATAATATGCTTCATTATAGTGAACACTTCACTATAACAAAGTAATTGTATGTCCTTCAAAGGGTTTGTTATAAAGAGGTTACAGTTTACATGTACATGCATTCAGTAACCTACACATGTATCAATCCAGATACCTGTGCAATGTTGAGTTTTGGTGTTTTTTGGGACTAAGTCATTTAGCGATTCAGTCAAAAGAACAAATCGACATGCATCAGTCTTCCATTATGTTGTGTTTTTGTACCAACTTTGAACAGAATCCCTTTCAAACATGTCTGATAAATGACATCGGACGGAAGACATATGGATGGTTGGAACCTAAAACTTGCAGCCCTGGTTTCAGACTACAACCATTAGGAGAGTTGTTATCTGATTGGACTGTCAGTTAGGTGTTCATGACAGGTAGCCAATGAGGTACATTTCTGTAAGCCACCTCTAACTCACGCAGTAAAGAAAGCATTTGGCCTGTCAATTACATGTAGGTGTCATGGTAATACATTTTGTAAATTGGCAATGAGAGTTACATGTACAAATCATTTTACTGGCACTTGTCACTGCAATGTATGATAATAAGGTTATGTGTGACTTGTATAGAACATCTTATTTTCCAAATGAAAGTACAAATGACAAGTCCAGCTGCTAAACCACATGTATATACATGTACACATGCAGGAAGCAATGTGCTTTGGTCAATCTTTTGACATTTTAAGAAACCAAATTTAGTTATTTAGTAAATTATATTTAAAAATAAATTAAATACACATTCGAGAGATATCATATACATGTACATGGGATTAATATTTACAAATCCTTGTCAATTCCTCATTAATATTGATGGAAACAATACACTGGTTAATTATTATAATTATTAATACAAACATGAACTTGTCAATTTATTTTGATAATTTTATCAAATTAACAAATGTAATAATGAAGCTGGATAGTCTTAGATGTCAGACACAAATTTTAAAACACAATTACTTTTTTATTAACTGATTTTTTTTCCACTGAAGAATTTGCACCAAGATTTATTACAAAATGGATCAAATTACTATTGGGGGGGGGGGGGGATCATATATTAACCCAAAGACACTAAAGAATGCAAGGACAGGTAACTATGGCAATGATGTTCTGTTGGTATGTTACATTCTATTATGATACATGAAACAAATCCACAACCACCATACCGCATTTTTTTCAGTCATTTATATAAACCCAGACTAGTTTAGATACTACCGTTCATA